CCCAAGCTATTGAAGTGTATCCACTACTTTCTGAAACAATGTTTTTGAATTGTTTGTTATTCACAGCACATGTATCATAACTAAAGGTTGCAGGGAAACATGGACCATTTCTTTAATTAACAAGGATGGGATCCATGAAAGTACCAAGTCTTGGGTTTAGGAGCCTAAGTCCCAGTCTTGGCTCCACTGTGATCGACAAAACACCCACTGAACCCTGTAGGTGCCAATGTTTTTCAGAGTAAAAGCTACCTAGGGGCCTTTGTTCCTGCCTCTGGGCATGCACACTGCTGCCTCCCTCTATGCATACGGGCACCTATCTCCTGCCTAAGCCCAGAGCGATCCATGAACCAGAAGAGGCATTTGGCCACCTAAGTCCTGTGCTGGGCAAAATCCTGTACCTGGCCTCTGAGGCCAAAATCCAGCTGGAGGAGATGGTGCCCACCTTATAACTTTTAGCTCAGTAGTTACAAGGGCCAGAGAAAGAGAGAGAGAATGACTCCATAATGCAGTGTTTAGGGTAGCCATCTGGGAGGTTTGAGACCCTGGTCCAGTCCCCTGCTTCAACCACTTTTTTAAAAAAAATTATTTAAATGCAAAATTAGAGATTGAGGGAGCCCACATCAGACTGTCTCGTGGCTCAGTAGCTAGAGCACTCGCCTGAGAAGTGAGACCCCCATGGTCAAATACTTTTTTCCCCTCTGGCAGAGTGGGGAATTCAACCTGGGTCTCCCACATCCTAGGGGAGGCAAGGGTGCTGTAACCATGGGGCTATAAGTTTATAAGGTGGGCAGCACCACCACCTCCTCTTGCAGCTGTTTTGTGTGGAATGAGGTAGGCTCCAGTGTCATTTCCACAAAAAATTACTGAGTCACCTAAGGTGCCTTACTACAAGAGACTGGTTCCAATTCTTGAATTGCTACTCAGAGCTAGGAGCCTCCCTGCAGCCTGGAGTTAGGAGCCTATCTCTGAGTGGGGCAGAGCTTATAACACACTCTTCTTGTCAGCATCTTGCATTGGTTAGCTTAGGTGGCTCCACACCTAGCGGGCTGGCTTTTGTGGATCACATTATAAGGTGTCTCTCTTTTCCCATTCATTGTATAAGGAGCCTAGGTGCCTAACTTGGCTTTGAGGATCACAGTGTTGTGACGGTGATTTCCTAGGTGCCTAAAAGTTAGGTGCTGTGATGCTCAGTGTTGCAATGCCCAAGTCTCTCGTGGATCCCCCACCAAGTGATTTTGTCCTTGCTGAAGCAGATTTCCTACATCAAAAGTAAATTATCTGATGAATTATATCTATTTGTCCAGTATTAGCCCTTCTTCTAGTTCAGAATGTGACCAAGAAATTAAACTTTATAAAGTGGAATATTAGGCAGGTTCTCTAATATCTATTTACAGCATTGTGCTCCCTTCATGGCTTTATGATGTGGCGCATAGGTATCCCTTAGGTAATGCAGGACAAACCGTATTTGTAAAGCTAAACGATACATCTCCTAGATATTGCTCACAAATAACATTCTTTTCTTGTAATTTTTCTGGTGAATGAATATCCATTACAAAACTCTCAAGCTCCTGTCTTTGTTTTACAGAGTGGTTTCAAAAGCAAGTCAGAAGAAGGGCTGCTCATTTATCGTTTTCTTACCTGAACATCAATTATTGGAGGCGGGAGGAGGCAGAGGGGGAGAGAAGTGTCACCATGCCTCAGTGGGTCACAACTGAAAATGCCAGATTCAGGAGAAATTCTTGAGAAATAGGGCAGACTCATTCCAACCTGGTGGTTATTTTATGATTAGATTACACCACACCAGTAAGTCTCACCACACTGGTGAACAAGAAGTCAAAAATGCAGTCTCCTTAGGCATTCCAGCCCTTATTTCACCACCCAGACGCTAGCCTTTATGATGAGTGGTTATTGAAAACCTATTTCATCAAAGGGATCAGGCACTTAGCCAGGTCAATATATAATTCAGATCTTACCCAATAATCATGCCAATCCTTTAGTAACTAAAAGCTAAAAGTTTATTAGTAAAGAAAAAAAGAGTTAAAATGGTTAATAGATCATGTACATAGAATAATGGCAATGTTCTCGTATCAGGTTTGTAGTAATGAAGCTCCTCAGTCAATCGTCCAGTATGTTCCTTTTAGTTGTAAATCCAGCCCAGAGAATCAGAGCAGGAAAGAAGCAACACAGAGATGTTTCACGGGTCTTTTATATCCTCTGCTGTGTGCTTAAAATTTTACTGTCCCAAACAAAACTCAAGCCCCTGTCTGTGAAAAGTTACTGGCACAAGATGGAGTCCAGGGTAACATGAGCAAATCACATGTCCTTACATGGTTTGCTGACTCACAGGGGCAGCCATTGGCCATATCTGTGTTAAGGAGTCCAAAGGAAGACTTACCTGGTGGAATGAGTCTCCTCTATGACCCATTGCAAGAGTTAAATGTCTTTAATGGACCATCAACACAAAGCTGTCTGGCTTCAATGCAGATTTCACCTGGTGGGTGTTACCCCAGGAACAAACATACTTGGGAAATAGATATTTAGCCAATATTCTAACTTTAGATACAGTGATGATTAAAGCTACAATTTTATTTATGAGTATTTTGAGTAAATGTCATGGACAGGTCATGGGCAATAAACAAATATTCATGGCCAGTGACCTGTCCATAAGCGTGATTAAATCTTGAGGGGGGCGGGTGCTGGAAGGGCCACTGCTGGGGGAGGAGTGGCACTTGGAGCCAGCGGCACCAGCTGCTGGGGGCCGGAGACTATGGCTGACCCCAGTGCTGCTCCAGCAGCGGCTGGTGTAGTTGTCCTGGGAGCCACCTGAGCAGCTGGTGAGCTGAGCACACCGACCTCTGCAGAAATCATGGGAGGTCATGCAAAGTCACAGAATCCGTGACCAGCATGACAGACACGGAGCCCTAGTGATGATACACGGATTTAAACAAGATAATCTTATTTAGCAAATCATAACTTTTCCATTGAAAGCTTACATAATATATTTTGTACAAGATTTGTTGCAATTTGTGCTCCACTTCAGGTGACTTCTGAGCAGTATCCCCAGAAAGAGGTGGCAGTTTCAGAACAGGGTGCAGAACTGAAGATAGTACTGCAGAGCCAAGTGCCCCATCAGATGGCAGGGAGCAATGCTTTGAAAACGTATGGATTGAAGTCCAGATAGTGGCTCTACATATCTCAGATATAGAAATATTCTTCACAAATGCAGTAGAGGTTGCCTGTGACCTGGCTGAATGTGCTCTTATCCTCTGGGGAAGGGGAGCTGGGGGTGGGGGGAAGGGCGCCAAGGACCTGCAGATACGTAACAGATAGAGATACAACTTGATATCCATTTTGAAAGTCTTTGAGCAGATATGGGAGTCCTCTTCGATCTATCTGCGGAGGAGACAGAGTCTAGGTGATCTCCTAACCTGCTTAGCCCTATCCAGTTAGAAGGCCAAGGCCCTTCTAACATCCGGGGTATGGGAATAGAATCCCTGCTCAGAACCATAAGGCTTCAAAAAATACTATGCCTTATCTTGTTTGGTACCCTTAGAATTAGGAGCATTGGGAGAAAGGCATAGAATAGACTCTTCTTCCACGGTAGAAGGAAAGTGTCCCCCAGGGAGTGGTGACCCAGACCCCCACTCTTCCCTTGAACAGAACAGAAGGCACTTCCTGTTCTCAGAGGTGGCAAAAAGTTCGATCTCTGGCAGCCCCCATCTCCTGAATATGCTGTGAGGAACCTGAGGGAGTGTCCAACTCCCATTCATAATTGTGGGAGAAATGTCTGCTAAGGACATTAGGTGGGGTGTTCTGGATGCCCAGGAGGTAGACCGTTGAAATCTGGATATGGTGGGCTATACACCAGTTCCAGAGTTTTATGTCTTTCTTGGCATACAAGGAGCAGAATCTTGCTCCTTCCTGCTTGTTGATGTAGCATATGCAGGACATATTGTCCATTGTGACCCTGACTGGCTTGTCCCTGATGAGGGGTAGGAAATGGAGGCAAGTGTTCCTGACTGCCCTGAGCTCCAACAGGCTGATGTGAAGACTGGCACTGTGGGTTGCTCACCCACTTTGAACCATGAGGGTGTCAAGGTGGGCTCCGTCGGTTGTTAGACACTGATGTGGTTGGGCGAGAGAAAAGGACACCCACACGGATGTTGAGTTGCTCTTTTCACCAGTTTAGGGAGTTCTTTACATGCAAGGGGCAAGTTGCCTGCCTGTCCCAGGTGTCCCTGCTTGGACAGTAGGTTGTTCTGTATCAACCCTGGAAGCAGTGGAGGTGTAGTCAGGTGTGATTGGTTACAAAGGTGCAAGCTGCCATATAGCCCAAGAGTTGAAGACACTCTGTGTATATATATATATATATATTCCATATACATATTACTCAAAGAAGAACTCAAAGCTCCTTACACCATTAACAAATTAAGCCTTCTTGCAAATTAAACAAGGGCTCTATGGGGGCTTACTTCTCCCACCACTAAAACGCAGTTATCTCTGATGCGGAAAACAGTATCTGTTCAACAGCACACATCTGCCACAGTTTAAGGCAGGAAGTGAAGAATACTGTACCTTACCCAATCAAAGCTGCAGAAGAAAGTTAGGTAGACAGAATGTAATTATCCTACTGGTATTTGGCCAGAAGAAAGGGAATAACATGCTTACTCTTACGAAAAGTGATATGAAAGCTTTAATGACCACAAGCGGTCAGAATCCTAGTTTTATGCCTCATCTGCAAGATGCCACCTCCAGCACCATACTGTCCTGTACTCTAGCATAGATTCAATACTGATTAAGAGCACAGCATTATGCCTATTGACTCACTAATGTTACTTGCCTCAGGTTCTTGGTGTTCCTTGGAAACCTCCTATCTAATAATAACACAAGTCAAACTCTACTTAGCTTGAGAGGTCACCTCAAAAAGGTGTCTGGCTGTAAGCAAACAACCTTTATTATTTAAAAAACAGCAGAACAGATCCAGAATGCTAGAACAATAATTCAATTTTAGAAGAAGTTTTTATTTCAATAAACAAAAACCTTAGAACTTCTCATTAATGTAAGAGTACATAACAATGTAGAATATTTACAATATTTGGATATTAAAACTTTGTACAGAATGTGCATGACATATGCCAAAAACATGATTACTTCCCCAAGGATGTTACAAACTAAAAAACAACATGAACAAACACCATCAAAGTAAACAGAGTTGTGCATGGTCACTAAAGCTGGGAAGCATCATCCAACAGGTAGTTTTTCCAAGAGAGATGATGCTCATGTGCATATTTGTAGCCTCATTTCTAGCTTATTTCTTTTTCATATCCAGGTCTTTCTAGCAACATCTTTTTTATGTTGATTTGTTAATGTGGTTAGCTGTGAACATATCAGTGCTTTACACCTTTTTTTTTTGAAAAACTGAAAACCAACGTTAGCTTTAGCTAACGTGTTCATTATTTCAGCCCATTTGCTTCTGTAATATAGTAAGAAGATAAATCTTGATAGCGTAAGCCTGCTTGAGTCATATGACCTACTTCGTACAGCCATATACTCATGTCAAATGACAACATAACGCTCTTTTCACACAGATGCAAAGTGTCTTAAAAGTATTTCTGTCACTAAACTATAATCTTTACATAAGACACTTTAAAACCACAGACATATGCCAAAGTTAAACACATTTATGACAATTTGTACCATGGTATTTCTGTAAAGAACGAAGTTAAAAAATCTAGCCCTAAAGCATTAAATAGATAGATCATTTACAGCAATATTAAGGATTTCACCTTGGATATTCAATTACACTAACTCTTCTATACATGACCATAATGTTGATTTTAATGTGTGCTCCACATAGAATCATAGAATATCAGGGTTGGAAGGGACCCCTGAAGGTCATCTAGTCCAACCCCCTGCTCGAAGCAGGACCAATTCCCAGTTAAATCATCCCAGCCAGGGCTTTGTCAAGCCTGACCTTAAAAACCTCTAAGGAAGGAGATTCTACCACCTCCCTAGGTAACGCATTCCAGTGTTTCACCACCCTCTTAGTGAAAAAGTTTTTCCTAATATCCAATCTAAACCTCCCCCACTGCAACTTGAGACCATTACTCCTCGTTCTGTCATCTGCTACCATTGAGAACAGTGTAGAGCCATCCTCTTTGGAACCCCCTTTCAGGTAGTTGAAAGCAGCTATCAAATCCCACCTCATTCTTCTCTTCTGCAGGCTAAACAATCCCATCTCCCTCAGCCTCTCCTCATAAGTCATGTGTTCTAGACCCCTAATCATTTTTGTTGCCCTTCGCTGGACTCTCTCCAATTTATCCACATCCTTCTTGTAGTGTGGGCCCAAAACTGGACACAGTACTCCAGATGAGGCCTCACCAATGTCGAATAGAGGGGAACGATCACGTCCCTCGATCTGCTCGCTATGCCCCTACTTATACATCCCAAAATGCCATTGGCCTTCTTGGCAACAAGGGCACACTGCTGACTCATATCCAGCTTCTCGTCCACTGTCACCCCTAGGTCCTTTTCCGCAGAACTGCTGCCTAGCCATTCGGTCCCTAGTCTGTAGCGGTGCATTGGATTCTTCCATCCTAAGTGCAGGACCCTGCACTTATCCTTATTGAACCTCATCAGATTTCTTTTGGCCCAATCCTCCAATTTGTCTAGCATAACACTGTTATGCATAACACTGTTTAAAGAAGAGATTCAGTTTATTTTCTAAATAATTATTTACAGCAGTAGTATATGCTCAGAAAGCAATTCTGATGATTGTGAGAATAATTGTTCACATACCCAGGGTATTACAAGATCTTAGTGTATAGACATGTGAAACTCTTATACCCTTATGATTGCTCCTTTTTGGTGCATATGAATGTAAAATAATTCTATCAGTAGTGCTAAGATCTGAAATTGTAGATACATATGACTCATCTGAGTTTCCACAAGCCAACACTATCTCTTACCATTACTGCTTGATAAAATTTGCAAAAGTTAGATTAATCCTGTTTTTTTACCCAGAGCAACAGAAATTCAACTGTAAAGGAAATCTGTGTATTGTGAGGATTTGGAGTCTTCCTAGTGATTCTGCCTGGTCTTTCATAATCAATGCTTTTTTGGGGGGTGAGTGGTGGGAGAGTTTGGAGGAGTACCAACCCTTAAGTTTCTAAACTTTCTTGTTACAGATACAGCCTTGAAAATGGACAACCTTATTAGTTATTAGCCAGCCAAAAGAGGTGTTATCAGGATTAACTCCCATGCCTAAATGTGATCACCTACAACAGTGCGAATTATTTCACTGCAGATGATAAAATTTATTATGCACTTGCCAATGGGGCTTAGTGTTTGCAGTGCGGACTGATAAAAAGCACTGGATTCTCAGTTTGGTCTGAAACACCAGCAGCAGTGACAATTAAGACCAACAACTAATAAACAGGATTATTTTTAAACATCTATTGTAGTCTGGAAAAAAGCATCTATCAACAAATCCTTATTACAGCTATTATTTTAGCAAATAAAATTAAAATTTTATAATCAGCAGGGTATAATGGACTTAGTGCTGGTTTTCTCCATTAAGAAATTTCCCTTGACTTTAAACAGAATAACCTTGGCCCCTGGGGGACTCCTAACCCAAGATCATTACACTTTCAGTACTACAAATTCTTAATTTTCAGATTCACTCCTACCTACAGGGTAAAGCTGTAATGACTGAGAGAGAATTATGTAATTATTTATTAATTAATGGCTCAATTAAAAAGTATGCTGTAAAAGCGGGCAAAAGGATAATTTTAACAGGTATTATTTGAGCGTGAAGAAGTGATTATCCACATCAGCAGCATGGGAGCTTCTGTAAGACCATAAAACCCATTTCCTTTCTGCCTCAAATCCTATATCAGAGGTGCAAGTTTAAAGGTTATAATACAAGCAGGCCTTCACCCAATCAGAATGCAGGGCAACAGCCAATTTGGGCACAATCCTACTCTCACTGAAGTCAACATGAATTTTGTTTGACTACAATTGGAAGAGAATTGAGCCTTTTATTCTGAAGTAATGATTCTGGTCAGTATCCATTCCCTGCACCTTTCAAATGACCTCAAATATCCACACTTCATAGATTAAAAAGGAGGATACACAAAGGGAAAAAGTATTCTTTGGAAAGGACAAGACAAATAGTCTGAAATTGTCTTCCAGCACCTATTGCTCTCTCCCAAGTCTCCCTGAAGTCTATATGGCAATGCAATACTCTACATCCCCCAGCTCCAGGTCTGCAGCCCTGCTTGGAAAAGGGCACACACTGCTTATGTATTTAAAAAATAGCAGTCCCCAGAAATAAAGAGAACATAGATGCAAATATGGGTCCAGAAACGCAGAACTACTGCAGGGCATGTATCCACTTCTGAGGAATGAGATATCTAAAGGAGAGGCAAACTATATACTATTAGTGGAGAGATTCATCAGTACAGATAATTCTGAGGAGGCGGCTGACTGTGTGTGACATACCTCACCAAAAGCCCAGGACTTAGAACACTCTCAAACTGGTTTTACACAGCTGTAGATCCATTAACTTCAAATAAGTTTGATAATTTTACATAGAACTTTTGCTATGAAGTAATAGTACCATCATCATTAACCAACTGTTTTACTTTGGCTTTGCCCAGCTACTTTGGAATAAAATTATGATTTCATGAGAGAGAGGCAAAATAATATCACTTAAACATCAGCAGAAATTATGAAAACACATTTTCTTTAAATATTAAATACTTGTTCCTCATCAAGAGCAGCATTAATGCAGCTCTGTTCACTGCTATTGGCAGTGAGTAATCATAGAGATATGAGAATCATAGAGGCAAATTACACAATGAAAAAAAGGTGCAGGGTCAATTTAGATCTTTTACTTCACAGTTTCTTTAGCCTGACATGATCTCAGCATATGGGAAAGGGGGTAAAAGGTGGCAGGTTTGTGAGGCTGGGAAACCAAATCTTGGTCTAAAAGGGGAAATGGATACACACACTCAAATTAAGCTTCGCAGACTAACAATGTGTGGTCTTTGAAAGATTTCAGTTTCTTTTCTTGGAAACGCAGTCTTATCTTGAATGAGTACTCTGGCGTGCTGGGCACTCCTGTTTGAAACAAAAGTTATCCCAGTATGTAGGGTCTTCAGGTGCTATAGGAACACCAGCGGCAACTAAATCATCAAAAGTCAATACCTGGAATTGTGGCTGGGTCAGGTCTTTAGGAAGAACCTAAGGAAAATACATTTTAGTGTAAGTCAGAAGCATGGACAAATTTCACTCCTCTCCCTCTCCCCCACCCAAACCAGTTTAAACTGTTGTAAATACTAAAAAGAATAATTTTAAAATGTTCAGATTGATATGGATGTGATAAAAAATTAACCTTAAATATGTTAAAATGCACAGTAGTGGGGATGCAGATAATATAGTCCTAGAGACTGATGTTTTAGTGAATAAAATAAAATAAAAGAATAAAATGGAAAAGGAAAAAAGTGCCAGGGAATCTAAAATTCATAAATATTAAGGCCTATAAAGAAGGGCTATTTATCCTTCAGTAACTCTGGTTCTTTGAAATGTTGTCATTCGTGTGGATCCCACTGTAGGTGTGTATATGCCTCATACATCAGAGATCAGATTCTTCTAAAACAGCAGTATTGGTCATGGAAATGTGTGCACCCTGCGTCTGCTGATGCTCCCATGAAAAAAATCACACATGGCGGTGAAGTGGAGACCATCCCTGTGGGGCATGAGTTGGCACCACAACATTCCTATGCATTTGGTGCCTTGCTGGGGAGTAAACAGGCCTGTCCCAGAGCTCCAGGGGCACATACATGTGCCGACATATGGCTGAATGCCACAAGGAATATCCCTATTATTGTAGATGGATGGGATCTTATCTCAAGTAGCAGTGATTGCAACAACAGGAAGTGGTTCTCACGCAGGTACACTCTGTATGATCTGGAGTCTACTGTAGCTTTTATGAAGTCTATCATTTGCAATAGGATAAAATATTATTTTTACCTTTGTATTTCACCAGGAGGGACAGTGGGATCCTTGCTGCCTCTTGCTGGGACCTGTCTCTGATCAGTCAGTCATCCAGGTAAGGGTAGATATGACTGCCCTGCCTTCCCAAGTGTGCTGCAACCACAACTAGGCATTTTGTAATGATTGTCAGCATAGTGGATAGGCTGAATGGCAGTACCTAGTTTGGCTAATGGTTGGGCCTCATCTTAGGTACTACCTGTGGGCCAGATGGATGGCTATGTGGAAGTATGCCTTTTGCAAGTCGAGAGCCATGAACCAATTCTCAACCTGCAGAGATGGAATGATGGAGGCATTACTATCCTGAATCTGAGGCAGCATATTAGTTGAGCGTCCTCAGGTCTAGGAAAGGATGAAGACACCCATTCTTCTTTGGGATAAAGAACTATGGAGAGCAGAAGCCGTTCCTATGGCTCCTAGATGAAGCAATGAGGACACTTCTGTTTGCAACAGGATCTTGTGAGAATGATGCTGGAAGAGGGATGGGGAAGGAGGAGAAGTAGGGAAATGTGTGGATTAATCGAGTAGCCGAGGGCAATGATGTCTTACACCCATTTGTCTAATGTAATGGTCGATCAAGCTCCATGGAAATGGACAAGGCAGACAAGGATCAACTCCAGTGTGACTCTCAACACTCCTGTCAAGCCTGTTGGCTCTGTGACTGTGTCAGGTGTGTGATGGAGGAGGTCAATGGGTTTCTCCTGGAATACCTGGATATTTTCTGAGGCAGGTACTCAGCTTGTGGTCATGAGAGTATGAAGTCCCTGCCGGGGCTGACACTCAAAGTTTCTGGTAAGGAACCAGGGTGCAAATCCCAAAGGACCTTAACACAGCCTTTGAGTCTTTAGAGTTCCATCCTCTCAAAGGGCAGGTTCTCGATGGTGGCTTGCACTTCTTGGGGTACCCTGGAAGCTAACAGCCAAGATGTCCATCTCATTGTGATGGCCCTGGCCACTGACCTTGTTGCCATGTCATTTGCATCCATGGCCAGCTGTAGTACCATCCTCACAACAGTTTGGCCTTCTTTTATTATTCCTTTTAGCTATTCCCTGTGCTCCTGAAAGGGAGTTTGATAGGCAGGGAGTGACACACTCTCGGGGAGAAAGTCATAGTTCATGAACAAGGCCTGGTAGTTCACCACTGGGAGCTGAAATGAGGAATACACTTTAAACAGGTTGAATTTCTTCGGGTTTTTGTTTTTTGGAGTATCTTTTGATTTCTCCTGGATTGCAGACACTACTTGGAACCCTGTGTTTGGGTGGCTACAAAATGCTCAAAGCCCTTTGAGGATACCTGGTCTCTTTTCTCCATTCACTTAGAGGAGGCAGGAAGAGTGGCCAGGGTACCTTAGCTGGTTCTAGTATGCTCTCATAGATGGGAAAGGCAATTCTGACTTCAGTAGTTATATTGAGAATATCAAAACAGCATAAGGGTCTTCTTTGGTCTGACTGTTGTTTTGATGTCCAGGGTGTCTGCTAGGAACTCCTAGAAGCATTTGAAGTTGTTGACCACTGGGATAGGAGCTGGTGTTACTGTCTCATGACGAAGATGACCCCTGAGATGGAGAAAGGGGTGTGACACCGCACCCCATTCTTCTAGCCTGTGTATGAAACACCTGGGGATTCCAAGCTGCAAAGCAAGTGTAGCTTGTGCCTTAAGAATTTAAAAGTCTGCCTGTACCATCAGTTAGGGTGAAAATCTGCTAATTCATATCCAATCTATTTAGTATATTAAGCTTAGTTTGTGGTTTTTGTTTATTTGCTAGGTAATCTGCTTTGATCTATTTGCTATCACTTAACATCTATCTTTTGTAGTTAATAAACTTGTTTTTGGTTTAATCTAAATCAGTGAGCTCTGACTTGGGGAAAATCTCTGCTTGGTTACCACAAGCGTGCATTGTTCTCTTCACATTGAGGAAGAGGTGGGGTATATATACTGGCTAGATTTGACCAGAGCAGGATGGTACTGCTCTGGGGTCCTTGGCTTGGAAGCCGGTGGTTAGAAAGTCTGTGTGTAACTGCAGCTGGGTGTGTCCTTACCTGTGTGAATGCTGGTGAAAGTGCAGGCTGGAGGGCTTTGCAGCTTGTCATAGCAGTACAGTGTGAGAGGGAGCCCAGGCTGGTGGGTCAGGTGGCTCAGTAGTACCCCAGTTCCAGGTGGCATCCTGGGGGTAGGGGGAGGAGGGAACCCGTCACAAGGGGTTGGTGCTGGCCTTCCACTTTCTCCATCTCCTGGTGGCTGACATCAAGCTCTGGTATTGGAGATCTGGCCAAATTCGTCGGAGAGTGAAATATTCTTCTCTTTCTGGATGCACAAATGGGGAGATGTGCTCTGAGACATATGCAACAATAGTCCCCTGCGAAGCCCAGAGAGCATGTCATGGGGGTACTGGCCCAGTGCCAGCTGATCAGCCGGCTCAGTGGGCTCAGTGCTACTCCTGTTTTACCTGAAGCAGAGCATTTGGCAAGGGGGTTCTGCCTCAGGTAACTGGAGTTGCTCTCCGAAGGCGCGGGAGAGGCAACCCTGCTTATAGCTGGGGAGGAGGAGTAAACTGGTAAGGGTGACAATGAATCACTCTCTTCAAATGAGTGCCATGTGGTGATGTGGCCTCTGCATCATATCTAATTCTGATCACCACTTAGGAGCACTGGATCTATGAGTCTCTGCAGAGGTGTATCTTGGATCTGTCATTGGTTCGGTCAAGAATACCAAGAGCAGTACCAGGGCTCCTCCCCCCCATGCTATTCCTGCCTTGGTGGAGGATTTGGAGGCTTTGCCCCTGGAGGAGTGATATTTTATGTGCTCTTTGTGCAATGGTCCTTTTGTTGTTCAGAGCTGCGCTTATGCTCCAGGTGGGACTGTTTCTTGGCATCACTCGCCCACGATCAGGGTGTAGGCACCAGTTGTGACGTTGAGGCTGCCAGAGCACTAAGGTTGCCTGTGCTGAGGTTGCCAGTGTCCTTTTCACTGCCTTTCTTCCACTGCCTGATCCCAGGCTCTGGTGCCTATTCCAGGGAGCACTTTCCGATCCAAACTCTTTTGGTTCCACTTTGGCAGCTGTCATTTCCTCAGGGTCTGAACTGACACACATGGATTGCTCAAGAAGATGTAACTTGAGCTTCACATTCCTCGGTTTGCGCATCCTGGAAGAAAATGACTGACACACTTCTCACCTGTCTGAGATGTGGTTCTCCCCAAGGCAGAAGCAGTAGCGTAGCTAGGAGTGGAAATTTGGGTGGGCCCTGACTTTCAGGTGGATGGGCAATGACAGACTGTGCTAGCTCAGCTTCTCCCCTGATGTCACGCCCTATTCCTAGCCCTAGTGCTCCCAGACAAAGGGCTTCACTTGCTGAGCTGGGCACGCACATGGGGCAGCTCAGAAAATGGCATGGCAGAGCTGCCAGAGCATAGCTTTCTGAAGGGTGGGCGCATAGCTCTGTCCTGGATTTCAGGTGCCCAAGTGATGCTCTGGGCCACTGTGGCAGCACTACACCCCTGCTCAGACATAGGTGGGCCTGGATGCTAAGTGGGTGGACCGTCGCACACCCAGGCCCATTTGCGGCTATACCCGTGGGAAGAAGAGGTAATGGTTGTGTCCATCTGCAGAGGAGATGAGAACATCACAGGACAAGCAGGGTTTGAAACCTTGTGGCTTAGGGTCTGCCATATTAACATGAAACACATCACTCTGCTTAACAAAAGGGGTGTGTGGAGGGGTGGGAGAGGACTTTTTTTAAAAAATGGAATGCCCAAATTAATTTAATAAGGGGATAAGAAGGTGACTATAGATTCTCTTCACCAAATCGGTCAAGAAAAGGGTGAGTTTGAAGCTCTGTATAAGTAGTGGGTTGAACACTCACTAGATTCCATCTTTCTGTCATGGACAGTAAGAAGAGGGGGTTCCGGATGCTCCACCCTTTATGCCCTTGCATGGGAGAAGGAAAAGGCACAGTGGGTCATATGTGGCCCCGACCGACACTGCTTTTCAAAAGAATCCAATCTCATACATATGAGGCACATACATACATGCCATGTGATCCGTACCTGAAGGACTATTATGATCATCTATTGTGATCACCCGCACTACACAGACCAAAGAACCTCATCCAATAATTTCTGCAACAGCCCTTAACTTCTGCATGAGCTATAGCATCTCTTTGAGAAAGATACTCAGTCTTGATTGAAAGACTTCAAGTGGAGAATCCACCACATCCTTAGGTAAGTAGTTCTAAGTAAATTGTTCCATTGGTTAATTATTGGCCCTATTAAAAAGAATTGCACCTATTTCCGGTCTGAATTTGTCTGGCTTCACCTTTCAACCACTCAATCTTTATGCCTTTTTCTGATAGATTAATGAGCTGTCTGTCTACTATCCTAAGTCTCTCTCCCATGTAAAAACTTGCAGACTGATCAAGTCACCTCAACCTTCTCTTGGAGAAACAGAGAGAGAGCTTCCTTAGCTGTTCACTATAAACCATATTTTCTGGACCTGAAATCATTCTTGTAGCACTTTTCTGAACCCTTTCCAAGTTTGCGACATCCTTTTCGAAATGTGGACATCAGAGCTGGACATAGCATTCCAGTAATGCCCTTACTAATGCCGTACTCAGAGGTAACACCACCTCTTCCTATTCTTACTAGACATTCCTCTGCTTATATATCTAAGCATCACATTCACCTTCTTAGCTACAGCACTGCACTGACAGCTCACTCTCAGCTGGTTATCTACCATGACCCCTAACTCCCTTTCAGGGTAACTGTATTCATGGATACAAGCCCTCATCTTATAACTGTGACCTACAATCTTTGTTCCTAGATAAAACATCCTTTAATTTTGTTGATTTAAACAGAAACAAAGAGGTGGACTGAGCACCATAAAAGACCATACAACCCCTGCACTTAATCACTGTGATGACTGCGAAAGATTTGAGACCAGACCCACAAACACCACAAGCTGTGGATCGGGAAGAGTTGTTTGCCCTTTATGGCTGAATTTTTAAAGTATGAGACTCCAAAGAGTTGCACTTCTAGGACATCTACTGAAGGTGGGAAAGGTGAGTCAGACTAGAGAAGCCACATGAGCTGAATTCTGTTTCCAGGATGAATGAACCAAATGAAGTGAAATTGGCAGATTAACTCCTTTGGAGTGACACTGACTAGCTGTTCTCCATGATTCTTGATAGGTAAAGCCATTATGCTCATTGTAAAGCTTGTGCTTTAGGACAGGGAAAAATGACATTTATGACCAAAATACTTAGTATTCTATTCAAATTGTGTAACACCTTTATTTCATTTCATACGGCAAGTTATTTTAGAGACCAAAACTCAAAACATCTTACGTTAGAATCCTTCTGTACAAATACTTCTGGTTTCCCCAGAGCTACTGCAACATGATGGAGATCATCCAACCGGGTTTCCTAAAAAAGAAAAAATAAAAGATAGTATATTAATATTAATTTTCATTACTATATGTCTGAAATAGAATACAGGGATATATATATATATATATATATATATATATATCGGAATTTAGGGCAAAAACAAAGAGTAATTTAAAGTAATTTAAAACATCACTCATTTAAAAGTGACTTGTACCCTGTTGGGCCGAATCTTCCGTAAGACTCGAGGAAGGAGTGGTAATGGAACAAAGTCATATCTCAGATAGTCTGACCCTGGAAAAAGTAGATCATCATCCTGAGAGTGGTGACTTAAGGCTCCGCTGGAGCAGTATACACTGCATTTCCTGTTCATTTGAGAGGCGAACAGGTCCCTGTTGGGGTCACCCACAGAGGGAAAATATTGTTCAGACAGAATCGTGCAACTCCCAAGCATAGTCTACAGCAAAAATGTCTGCTGGGAGAGTCTGCTAGCATGTTCAGGTTCCCTGGAATGTAAATTAGTAGGAGCGTGATTTGATTGCTGATGCATCAGTTCCATAGATTGACTGCTTCTGCATGCAAAGTGATGGATCTCACTTCTTCTTATCTGTTCATGTGAAAAACGGTCATGATATTGTCCAACATTAGGAGGACAAGGTGTCCTTGAATGAAAAAGAGAAAGGCTTCACAAGCCCTTTGAGCGGCTTGCAAATCCCAAAAATACTGATGTGAATCCTGGAGTCTTGAGATGTCCAGGTGCCCTGCACTGTGCAGTTGTCCATGTGAGCTCCCAAACGCAACAGGGAGACACATCTGTAATGATCATCCCGTTCAGTGGAGAGGCAAGGAAGGGAATGCTCACACATATCTAGTGGAGATTCTTCCACTGTGGCAAAGATAACAACTTTCACAGGGACAGTTACTATGGTGGTAATGGACTGAAGGTTTGGCGAGTACACTGTTTGAAGCCACGTCTGCAGGCAAAGAAGGTGGAGCCTGGCAAACAGCATGTTGTAAATGTGTGAATTCATATGACCCAGAGGGATAGACAAATCTTGACATGTGCTCAACAGCTGCTTTTGACTTGGTCTGAGATTGTTCATCGCCTGGATTCTGTCCATCAGCATGGAAGTCCTTGCCATGATTGAATTTAAGGATGCTCAGATGAAGTCCACAGTCTGCGTTGGGGTGAGGTCTTTAGAGTTTATACTGACCAAAAGAAGGAAAAAAGTTGTAGCATTTCTGAAGTTGACAAGCTGACGTCTTGGCGTGTCCTGGTGATGAGAAGCCAGTTGTCAAGACAGAGAAAGACAGTGAAGCCACAACGACTGATATTGGTGCTACTATAGAGAATACCTTAGTAAAGACCTTCGGACGGTAGCAAGGCTGAAAAGGAGTATTCTGTATTGAAAGAGGTTGGAGCCCATCATGAATCTGACTGCATCCTTCATGTTAAGGGCTGTAAACCACATGTACTTCTCTAGGGATGAGATTACAGATGCCGAAGTGACCTTGTGAAACCTGAGTTTGTGAATCAAATGGTGAAGATCGAGAATGAGTCTCCAGCAGTCCTCCTTCTTGGGTAATAGGAAGTGCACTGAGTAAAAATCTTTCCCTTGGTACTGAAGAGGAACCTGCTCTATCACTCCTTGCTGCAATAGGGATTCTACTTCTTCTTCTTTGAGAATCTCCTCACAAGAGTGGCAATCCACTCTCATGAGGGGATCTGGAGGGGGAGAGATGTAAATACTATTGTATAGCCAGAATGGCTGATGTTTAGCACCCATTTGTCTGTTACTGCACTCCAGGCATGGAAAAAGAGTGCTAGACAATCCCCAAAGGATATGTGCAAACTGTTAGGTCTGTTTTGCAGTTCTTGCGCTCCTGTCAAAAATAATGTTTAGCCAAGAACTGGGATTGATATGAAGAAATCACTGCGGAATGTGCAAGGAAATGAGACTTTTGAATCCTCTGTCTCTAGTGGGGTGACTTGCCTATGAAATTTTCTTTTTGGGGCAGGTGTATGTATTCCCATGGAGTGGATGGTGGCCCTGGATTCCTTCAGGGTGTGTAAAGACTTGTCTGTCTTGTGATTAAACAGATGAGTCTCACTGAAGGGCAGGTCCTCCATGGTGTTCAGAATCCTCCCTGGGAAACCCCAAAGCATGAAGCCATGATTCCCTGCACATTACAATTGTGGTAGCTATTGAAATATGTATCTGCTGCATCTACCGCTATTGAAATGTTCCTGGCAACCATGTGGCCTTCCTCTGTGAGAACATGGAACTGAGCTCTGTCCTGATGTGGAAGCTTGTCAGTGAAGTCTGCAAATTTTGCATCATTCAGGAAGCCATATTTAGGCATCCGTACTTGATAGTTGGCTACCCTGAATTGCAGGCAAGAGACAGAAAAGACTTTCCTTCCCAAGAAGTTGAGATGCTTGCCTTTCTTATTAGTTGGGGTAGATGTAAGCAGCAACACCCTTGATCTCAGACACTATCCAATGCTCACTAGAATGATTTTGTGATAGTAACAATGCTGTAAGTAAAGGCTGAAATAAGGTTTTTGTTTTACATTTCTGTCTCTACAAGACTTCTCACTTTTTAAAAACGGTTCGTAAATTCACTTAAGTATTTTCATATATTTAACTTCTCCTTTATGTATATTTTAAATGAAACAGTATGCAAAAATACTTGCCAATATAGTATTAAGTTTGAAATTGAATAAGATAAGAAAATTCAGTCAAGTTCAGTCAGCTTAAGTTTGTCTGTTTACTAGTATGCATTAGAACGTTTTTTCATTGGTTGATGACATACCACACTGGAGAACAGAAATGCTATTCAGAAAAACAGAAAGGACCACAAAGAAACTACCCATTTTTCTACAACTGTGGAAGCACATATTATCATTTTGCATTACTGCATATATACGGTGAGATGACAAATAGACCATATTGTAATACATGTGCACAATGGGAAACAGTTACCGAGGAAGCTTTAACAATTAATCTCTTATTCAGTATGTCCTGTCAAAAAACCTTTACTCAATTTAACCACTTTGGTTGTCCCAATAAATGACTGGGATACAATCAGACACTGATTTCTAGAAACTGGTTCATTTTGTCTACTTAAACATTGTTATCAGAGCAGAGTTCAGAATTTCAGACTGAAATTTGCAAATTTTTTATTCAGTAACTTAAATTAACTCTGTTTTACACATCATGATGTCCCAATATAAACTGAGAATGCAGAATCAAAATGTTTCTTATTCTAGAGCAGTGGTTTTCAACCTATGGTCTGTGGACCCTGAGGGTCTGCAGACTATGTCTAAGATTTCCAAAAGGGTCCACACCACCATTCAAAATTTTTTAGGAATACGCAAATGAAAAAAGGTTGAAAACCACTGTTTGAGAGAGATCCTCAAATTCAGACATTAAATGCTTCACACAGGGACCCGACACAGTACACTTCAAGATTACTCCAATTTATATGATTCACAAAATGATTTTCAAGGTGATATTTTTCTTCTTTTAAAAAACTATCAAAATCTACACTTCAAAGTAAATTTAAGTATTTATGTTTCAACAAATAATACAATTAATAATTTCAAAACTATAGGGCTAAGGTCTAAACCCACATTGAAAATTTATACTTCAGAGTGAAATAAGAGTTCAAGTTGTTTGAACAGTGAAGTAGAGATGGCATAAACTGAAAGATATATTCCCAGAGAAAACAGAGTCTTCTATTAACAGATACATAGGAATTATGGAACCTCCCACTCTTGGCCTAAAGACTAAATCACTGGCATCTGCTTACCCGCTGTTCTCACCTGTAAAATAAAAGCTTTAATTTTGGCTACGATTAAAATGGAAGAAAAAAAAAAGCTACCAATCTTCAATAGTACATACAACAGTGAGGGAGCCGTAGCATATTTGAAATTTGCCCTCTTGAATGAAAACACTATATTTTGATCCATTTTGCCTACAGTGAAGTGCTATACTATGTTCTCCTGTTTTCTACTCCCTCCTTGAACACAAAACTGAAAAATAAGTTAAGCAGAAGGATTTCTGTTGCAGATGTATCAGGCCTCATCATCAGCACACACAGCTGTAATTTTCTTGGAAAGGTGAAATGGCTGTCTATGAGAATTCATTGTTTGAGCAACTTCTGCTCAAGAATTTATAAGGCTCCATAAGGTAGCAAAGATTCATGTTTGTCTAGACTGTTAAATTACTGTACGTCTAGATTTTATCACCGCATTTCGCACCCCTCCCCTTTCGTTTCCTACATGTCCTTGAGGGAAAGGCTGATGAGTTTAGAACACATGGCAGAATGCATTTACCAGTACCCTCTAGTCCACTGGAAATCCCAAATCTAATACATTGTAGTTTTAAAACAAATGAACAGCAACCTAAGTTTTGCTCAGTGAATACATGTGAATTTACCATATCTTGTCTGTGTAACTGGCTGTTATTGATGTCCAATGCCACCTGTATTACCTGTAATATGTATATTTTTCTTATTTTGTTACCTCACTTAATGCATATGAAGAGGAAGCCAACTTATAGGCTAAATCCTGCCTTGATGGAGGCATAAAACCATGAAACTAAACAAGGGGGGGGAGGGATAGCTCAGTGGTTTGAGCATTGGCCTGCTAAACCCAGGGTTGTGAGTTCAATCCTTGAGGGGGCCATTTAGGGAACTGGGGCAAAAACTGGGGATTGGTCCTGCTTTGAGCAGGGGGGTGGACTAGATGACCTCCTGAGGTCCCTTCCAACCCTGATATTCTATGATTCTAAGGATGAATAGGGAGACTAGCAAAGGAGTACCCCTCTGCAACAGAGCTCCTACTAGTGCAGGTCAGTATTCCTCTTGACAAACCAGGAGATGTGCTGTGGAGCACTATTTGTTGCACCTCTGAACAGAAGCAAAGTGCTCCTTGAACTGCTCTGACTCTAGTGCTTGCTGGGGCTTGAAAAGGACCACAACCTGTTAGTTGAACCCAACTCCCAGCACACTCAGAAATGCAGTTCTACTCTG